TTGTTCCTTCGACCGTCCAAGGTACTTTACGTTGAGGACCAAGGACCTGTTCCTTCGACCGTCAAAGGCACTTTGTGTTAAGGACCAAGGACCTGCTCCTTCGATCGTCGAAGACACTTTGTGTTAAGGACCAAGGACTGACTCATTTTATCGTCCAAGGCATTTCATGTTTGGGACCAAGGACCTATTCCTTTGACCGTCCCAGGCATTTTGTGTTAAGAACCAAGGACTCGTTCCTTCAACTATCCAAGACATTTTGTATTGAGGACCAAGGACTGGCTCCTTCAACCATTCAAGGCACTTTGTGTTGTGGACTAAGGACATGTTCCTTCGACCGTCCAAGGCACTTTTTGTAATGGCCGCTTACATATTTGGGAGACTTGTAATTTTAGACGATAAACCAATTTAAGAGGTTTATTGTCCCCTCTTTTTTTCAGGCATGACTGGAACAAATTCTGATGATAAAGTGTATTTTGACATACACGAAATTGTTGAACTTAAAAATCAAGACAAAAGTTATCTACGTTTCAAAGATACTGATGTGAAGTAACATGCCCAGACTGACGTACGGGGTGAGCTTAAATTTAGTGTCCATAAGCCGACGACAGATCCTTCCTCTGATCTTTTGGAGCCATTGTTGGAGTTGCATATGTCCATCATTAGTGAATGTCACAAGAGTTTGGATATTGGCAAGTCCAACCGCTCTAGTAGCCATCTTCCCTTTTTGTGTCTTCCGCCTTATCATTCCCAAAGCATGGAGTGCATCCCAAATGCTATGATTTGTAAGAGGATTGATAATAGAAAAATATGATGGGAAAGCGCACTGGTCAGTCAAGGAGAGATTTCTTTTCTTCCAAAATTTTGGAAGTAGTCTTTATGGGTCCAAAAACTTCTACTCAAAATGAATCTTCGCGAGTTAACTTTTGTAGTCGGTTCTGCCACAAAAGATTACCGTCGCCCAAACTCTATTTATAGAACTCTTTGTGAGGTTTGGTGTCCAGAGACCAATACCTTTGTGATTGCCAATGGTGAAATTGACATTTCTCTTTGGGACATTCGTGAGATAAACGAACTTTCGATCATGGGTCATTACTATGAGGAAGTAGTCCTAAGCCTTTTAAAGTTGATGGATCACCTTCCTGAGTCTTGTCTGTAAATCTATAATGTTTTCACATTGATTGCCTATGCGAATGAATCTGATAGGGTTACTCACGAACGATGGATTAATTTTTGGTTTCACGAGAATGATTGCGTCCAAAATCCTCGACAACAAAAAAATTATAAGAATGCTATTAATTTAAATCCATTCAAGAGGCATCGTCAAAGAGCATCGAAGGAAGTACGGAGGCCCGTGGTGGCAGACAAGCCGAGAGACATTACTTGTAGGGATCGACGTCATTGGAACAATTTGCCAATATCTCTGTCTATGGAAGAAGAAGAGAAATTAGAGATAGCAGCCTATCTCTCCTTATGGCTTTGTCGCTTCGTTCTTCCATTTGGGGACGAAAGTATAAGAGTTGGGACCTTTAAAGCATCTTCTAGGATGGCAGGTGGATACACTTATAATCTAGTTCCATCTATATTGGCGAGCATTTATAGTGGACTTACACGAACATCTAACTATCAAACAAACCCAGAACTTGGCTCAATTTCACATTCATTTCCTGGATATTTTCTTTATGCTTGGGCGGCAATTTATTTTGTCCAAGGTGTTTATGCTCATGTGGACAAGAGTTATTCTCTCTCTATAATTCGAAGATATTCTGGCATTCTGAATGCTTTTTAGTCTTGGGAGAAAAATGTTGTTGATTGTCGGGAACTTATCCATGGAACGATGAACACCAATGACTTTTGCTGGAATACATTACCCTCATCGTCTCATCCTGATGTACGTGTGGATGACCAACCAAGGTCTGCAAATAATTTAGAATTCATGATGAGTATTCGATCTGGATTTGTTTCTTATCGTCGAGGAAATTCACCTTTCATTCTTGAGACGTATAATCCTCACAGGTTTGTGAGACAATTTGGCTTTAGACAGAAACATCCCGGTTCACCAAGAAAGTTGAATATTGCCTCCAGTGTAGGCGACATGTATCGGATTTGGTTGTCATTGACTCGGATGAAAAGTGGGTCTGTATTTCATATTCCAGAGTATGTGAGGAATATACATAAAAACGTTGATGTTGAATATCAGGTTTGGTGGAATAGCAAAGTGTTGCCACTCTTGACAGGGTCCAGGTGCAAGTCTTATTTTCTAATAAAAGCCGTGACTTTGCTCTTGGCCTAACTCCGAACAGGGTCGTAGCTAGAAGGTTAAACCCTTCAAATGTTGCTCTTGAAGAGGATTTTTGAAAGAGAGATCCAAACCAGCAAAATGAAAGAGGTATTAAGAGAACAAAACTATAATTCCCTCGGCAAAAATTGCTGCCATCTCTGAGCCTGCTGATAAGGTGCCCGAAGCGATTTTGATGCCAGATCACAGTAGTCTTGGAGATCGAGCATCACAAGCACCGAAAAGACTTTAAGCTCAGCAGGAATGGACGAGTATGCTTAGAACTAAGAAGGCAACTTTGGAAGAATCACAGACAAGAGATGTTACTAGCTTAACATCCATTGACTAGAAAATGGAAACCCTTGAAGATAGTTTCCTACAAGTGATCAATGGCGAGTTATCCTGATGAAGTCAAGAATTTCTGATCTCTTTTCTTTTAGACCATATTTTATGAATTTTGACTTGCTATTTTTATTTGGATGAACTTTTCTTTTTATGTTTCTTGTGTTTCTTTTACTACAGCGAGTGGTAAACAAATTGAATGAATTTATTAGCTGTGACTGAACTTGAATTTATAATTTATTTAAGCTGCCTATGTACCTAAACGGGATCAAGTCGAACGTAGTTCAATACACGAACACAATTTTTTTCTTACAACGAAAAATTTAAAAGAAAGAATTTCAAGCGTAAAAATGCTTTAAAATTTTTCCATTGATAGGTCCGATTTGCAGTCCATCTTTATCGACGATCTTACACTCCGTTAATGAATGCATGAGTAACAAGAAATGGACCATCCCATATAGGCTGGAACTTGCCCCCTATTTTTCTTGTGATTATGATGGGTCTGCGTACGGAAAGTACCAGATCTCCAACTTGGAATAACCTTGGTCGCACCTTCTTGTTGAAGGATTTTGCCATTCGAGCTTGATAGCACTCTAGGTACATTTGTGCTTCTAACCTCTTCTCATCTAAAGCTTCTAGCTCTTTCAATCGAAGACGGACATTTTCTTCAGTTGTTAAACCTTCTTGGATGGCAATTCGAAGTGATGGGATTTGACACTACAAAGATAGTACAACTTCCACCCCATATATTAAGGCGTAAGGAGTGAGTTGTGTTGGAGTCCGATGAGTAGTTCGATAAGCCCATAAGACTTCACCAATTTTCTTATGCCAATCTCTTTTTGATTTGAAGACAACATTTTTCAGCAGACTGCATAGTGTTTTGTTGAACGCCTCTGCCAATCGTTAGTTGCCACATTGTACATGGACGAGTACTGTTTGAACCTATACTTTGCACATAAATTGTTTATGTGGCTATTGCAGAATGGTTTGCCATTATCAGTTATGATATGCCGCGGGACACCATATCGATAAATGATTGGGATGCGAATGAAATCTGCGACATTTTCTTTCTTTGCTTTCTTCAATGGTATGACTTCAGCCCACTTAGAAAAGTAGTAAGTCCAGGCAAGGATGTATGCATGCCCTGTTGAAGACTTTGAAGTTATATGTCCAATTACATCAAGACCCCATGCATCAAATGGCTATGAAGCTACTATAGATGTAATGGTTCTGGAGGTTGATGTATGAAATTCGCATGAATTTGGCAAGCTTCGCATTTTCTTGCGTAATCCATGGAGTTTTGTATCATAGTTGGCCAGTAATATCCCATCCTCTTTATTTGAAAATGGAGTTTGGGTCCAGACTGATGGGCACCACAAATTCCAGAGTGAGCTTCTTCACGACCTGTGTTGCTTCACATTACTTAGGCATCGAAGGAAAACTCCATCAAATGATCGTTGATAAAGTGTTTCCTTAGAAAAGATAAAGCGACAGGCACGCCTTTTGATTTCAGTTTTTCGCTGTGAATTATCTGGTAGCTTTTGATGTTGAAGGAAATCGATTATTGACTGTCTCCAATCTTCTCTTTCCTCATCTTTGATTACCTCGACACTATTATTTTCTACCAAATTACTGGGTAGCAATGACAGAAGCACCCATCTTTGTGAAATTGATATGGAGGGAGAGAAGTCTCCATCTGACCTAGCTGAAACAACGGCCAAATTATCCAAGGCATAAGCCTCCCTATTTTCACTTCTTGGGACGAATTTGATTTTTACTGAATCAAATCATCTCATAGGCATTGAATCTCTAAAGATTTCCAGCTGGTGGATATCCATATCTAACGCTGCTTCTAAGCCAAGGATAAGGGCTTGATATTCCACCACGTTATTCGAACATTTCTCTGTTAAGGCAAAAGAGTGGGGTATGACAAGGTCATGTAGAGTGACAAAAACTACTCCTACTTCGACACCATAGCTTCGAGCTATCCCGTTGAAGTATAACCTTCATGATGGTATGACTTCGGTAAATAGAACTTCTTCATCGGGAAAGTCTTCTTGAAGTTCCCATTCCGCGGGAATTTGATTGTCAGCAAGGAAATCTGTCAAAGCTTGTCCTTTAATGGCCTTTTGTGGAATGAATTTGATACAAACTCATGCAATAGTGGTGCCCATTTTCCAATTCTTCCAGAGAGAATTGGCATGGACATTATGTACTTCAATGGATCAATCTTTGAAACAAGATTGATTGTGTGTGACATTATACAATGTCTCAACTTTTTAGCTGCAAAGATTAACGCGAGGAATATTTTTTCAATAGGTGAATACTTCATTTCAGCGCCTACCAGTGTCCGGCTCAAGTAATAGAGTGCACTCTCTTTTCTTTATCGTTGACTTGGACAAGAAGTGCTCCTAGAGAATATTCTTGTGCCGCAATATAAACAGTTAGTGGCTTCCCTGGGACTGGAACTGTGAGTACTGGTGGACGAGACATATTGTTTAATGCTTTGGAAAGCATTTTGACAAGCGTCGTCCCATCCAAATGGTACATCTTTCTTCTCCAATTTGTCAAATGGATGACATCGTTTGGCAAGGTTAGAGATAAATTTTCGAATGTATGGAAGTTTTCCTTGAAAACTTTTCAACTCACGTACATTTCTTGGTTCTGGCATATTGATTATGGCATCAATTTTTGATTGATCTATTTCAATGCCTTGGTGTCGAACAACGAAGTCGAGAAATTTTCCAGAGATGGCACCAAATGCACATTTCAACGGATTCATTTTCAGTTGATGTCTTCAAAGTCTTTTGAAAACATCCTGTAAATCTTGTAAATGATCATCACGTCTTTTTGTTTTGACAACAAGATCATCCACATAGCATTCCACGTTCTTATGCAGCATGTCATCGAAAATCTTCTGCATTACCCTCTGGCAGGGTGCCCCCGTATTTTTCAATCCAAAAGGCGTAACTTAGTAACAATATATGCCTTTAGGGATACGAAATGATGTGAACTCCTCATCTTTTGGGTTCATCCATATCTGGTTGTATCCAGAAAATTCGTCCATGAAAGATAAGATTCATACCCAGTAGTTTCATGTACCATCAACTCTATTATCGAAAGTGGAAAATCATCTTTCGGACATACTTGATTCAGATCTCGAAAGTCAATGCAAATTCTTAATTGCCCATTCTTCTTTTTGATAGGGACAATGTTCGCGATCCATGTTGGGTATTTCACTTCGTGCATGAATCCAGCTTCAATAATTTTGTTGACTTCCACTTCAATTTGGGGGATCAGTTCTGGTTGAAATCTTCTTTGAGGTTGTTTGACTGGTCGAACTCCATGTCTTACTGCAAGATGATGCACTGCAACCTTAGGGTCTAACACTGGCATTTCGTTGTAAGACCTTGCAAACACGTCTTTGTATTCCTGAAGCAAACTAATGTATTCGGATTCCTCTTTTTAATTGAGGAAGGCATTTACAAATATTGGTCTTGGGTCTTCTTCGGTCCCCAAGTTCAATTGTTTCAAGTCATCCACAGTAGCTTGTCCACCTTCTTCAAATGTAGGTGGGGCTAGTTCAGGTTCATCTATTGTAACAGAACTTTCGGACTCAGAGTCTGAGTTGGGAGCTTCTTCAAAAGCTTGTGATTAACATATACTTCTTCTTTATCTTCATTACCCTTTAGAGATGAGCAAACTTTTTGATGTCTTCGTCTTGACCGTTGTGGTTTCAGACTTGGATAAGAAGTTTTAATTCCAAGTCGAGAAAATACAGATTGTCTTTAGTATGACATCTAGGGAGCTTGTGTATTCCTATCAATTTGGGTAGAAGAAAAAGAATCTTCGCTTAACCTTTGGAAGACAGAAACTTTATCTTTTACGTCGACCACTGGAGAGGGTTCTCTTTTTAACCTTTTAAATATCAAAACTCTGGCATTCTCATTTTCAATTCGATCAAACACTGAAGGTCTCGGCTATTTTGATTTCTCTTTTGTAACTTCATAAATTTCAACCATGATGGGGTTTGAGGAAACCTCTTGACCTTTATCTTCCTCGATGGATTAGGATCATATCCCAAACCATATCGAGGTCGGGCACCGAGGCTTCATCAGAATTAGAAGGGACACGTCCTCTTGAAAGGACAGCATCAAGATCACCTAATCTTCGAGGCTCTACTTTTCCAAACCCGGCATTTTTAAACAACTTTTTGACTTGAGGATTGTAACATCCTTTGAAAGTTTGTTTTGATTTAGGAGCTCCTTCTTGTTTGGACGAGCTAGAAACACGAAGTTTTGATATGTTTGGAACGGATGTCGAAGCCTCTGATGAGGTTTATGTTCCTCTCCGACCGTCATGAGTTGATGGGGCAGAAGCAATCTTGGAATACTAGTGTATTGGGAGAGTTAACTCTTTTCTCAATACCTCAACATCGATTGATTCTATTTGAGGTTTTTTGCCTTTAGAGAATCCTTCAGATGTAAATTTTGACTTGTCTTTGATAAGTTGATGAGATTGAACAGAACTAGGCGTATCATGATCATTTGCATCTTCTTTAATTTTGAATTCAAACATGGTCAACCCTGCAGAATTGTACTCTTCATCTTCCATGTAGAATTTAGCATCAGCAAAATGAGATTCGTCTTCAAGGAATGGTTTAGACTCAGCTACCACACATTTAACTTCTCCATCTTGGCTATATTTGAAGCATTTGTGCCAAGTGGAAGATACCACTCCAGTTTCATGTAGCCAAACACGTCCAAAGAGTAAGTCGTATGACGTTTTGGCATCAATGACATGGAAGAGAGCTGAGAAGATTAACTCTCCTCTTTGCAGCTTCAAGCAAATCATGCCAATGGCTCGCTGAGCTTTCTGATTGAATTCTTGAATCATGATTTTGCTTTTGGACAGATCACCAACATTAATTCCAACCTTCTTTATTGTTTTGACCGACATAATATTCATAGCAGATCCACAATCGACCATTATACGATTTATCTTGCATCCTCGAATTTAACCGCTGAAATACGATGGCCTATTATGTGGACGAGAACCCAGCTGTAAATCTTCATCATGAAATGTTATGGAAGCCATACAGTCTTGAGGAGTTGTGAATCTAATATGCTCTAAAACTTTGCCTTCGTATTCTTTCGGATCGATTAACGCTATGACCAAAGCCATCCGATCATCGAAAGGAAGACTAAGAGACTTTGCTAAACTCGTATTGGCAGGAATATTATTGAGCTGTGAGATAGTTTTCTTTTGTTTTGAAGTCTGTCCGGATGCATTTTTCATCTCATTTTTCTTCTCTACATTGATGACATTGGAGGTAAATCATTATTTATCAAAGAAATCCTTGGGAAAATAATCACCCAAGGTTGGCAGTCTGGGAGGAACGCGTGAAGTAGCTTCAACCCCCATCGATTTAGTGAATCCTCTTGATTTGGCTTTAGACATTCTTCGATTGTTTTTTGGTCTTATTTTTTGTCAAAAGCATTAGAATTTGGGAGTTGTGGAGCCTTTCGACAATGTCTTTTCACAAGGGTCCATGCTTTCTGATCTTCTTCTAATGTTTTCTCTTTATTAGGTTGAATTTTTGTACCCAATCCCTCAATCTCTGTTCCTACAAGAGGTGCAGAATGTAATATTTTACCTGTTTTGTTTAACCTTCGGTATTTCTCTTTCTTTTTTATGAAGGTGGACCAGCCATCACCGATCTCGTTTTCAGATTTTGAGTCAGAATCCCAAACATCCAAGTCACCTATTGTTCGTCAAAATTCCGCAAGCGTACAGGTTCATTGTACAAGTAATAATCGTGATGAGAGAGTTATCGTCCCACAGGGAATAAGGATTAATTCTAGGATATTTGATAAATTTGAATTCGTGTTTGTGACTAAAACTATCGAATGAATAGTTAACGGATTTTTAAAACTAAAATTTATAAAAGTAATGGAGGTTGATTTAAAACTTGAATATGCGAATGTATTGGATTTCAGACGCCATTGAGTAACGCTTAGTTCTAATTCTCAACTAGTGTTAATTATCTCAATTTATGCAATTGCGACGATCGATAATTCCACAATTATTTATTATTCTTTTCCAAGATATAATAAATCTATGTTTACGACGAGACGATCCTATTCCTATTTCAAATTCATATGGCGAACATGCATTGATAATTAGGATTATCACTTATGATCGCACACGCCACAAATGTTATTCCTAATATTTATTGCGCAGGTGTTCCAATAATAGTGTTCTACCTATCGTAAATTTTCCAACACAACGAATGATCAACTTATTGTCCTAATGGTGCGCTAACATTAGAACAATATAAATAAACATATTAATGGAATCACAATGCAAAAGAGTAACATAAAAAGATAAGTCTCGAATTAAAACTAAAAATTAAACAATTTTCTCATCATCCAATACATAAAACAATTTAGCCTAGCATAATGTTGGAATTAAACATATAAGAGTGGAAGGAATTCACCGAAGATCGACGTGACATGATTGACTCCACTTATGAGCCGGTCATTTTCTACGTGTATTTTTCTGTCTTTTTAGCCCAATTGCTACCTCAATATTTGACTTCTTCCAGTTGCTTCAATTTATGTTTATGTTATATAGATAGAAGATAAATAATGGAAGAAGCCGGCAGCAATTCTTTTCTTGTTTTTCCGAAGCTGCTCCTTTTCCTGCCTTTGTTCCTTTGCTTTTATACTATTAACTTCAGCAGTAGGTAGCCTTTGGCAGTTTCCCTTTAATTTAGCAACTGAAGCCTTTTTCTTATGTATATAAAATCTCCAAATTCAGCAGCAAAATTCCCCCCTTGCTGACCCCCGTGTCTGTGTGTATATATTTATATATATCCAGCCACAAAGATTCCAATTCTTCTCCCTTTCTCTTGCCGCCAATTTGTATCTATGCTTCTCTCAATTTTCAACCTCCAGCTACCTTATTTTTATTTTCTCCAGCCGCAATGTTGGACTCCCAAAGAAGACAAAATTTTTCTAGGTATTTCTCCCCAATTGGCTACCGAATTCCCCCCCCAGGATCTTGTGTTTCAGCCGGCAGTTCTGGTTCTTTTTTTTTTTGAAACTGATCTGCATGGTTTTTAATAGTAAAACCTAGGAAAATTTTCAGCTTTGGTCCCTGAAGTTTGGAGAAGCATTTAAAATGACCCCCAAGAATTAAAATGGCCCACAATCGCCCAATTCACTGTAATTGGCCGCCAAGTAAATGGATTTTGTGTCATTTGCAGCCAAGTCCCTCAATAATTGCATCTCAAATCCTCCACTTTTTGACTTGTATGCCTTGGCCTCCAACTTCCATCAATGGCCAATTTAATCCCCGTGTTTTGGATTTTGTCACTTTTCGCCAATTTTTGCTTCTTTCCTTTCCTTCTTCATCCAAGCACGAGTTTTACCTAAAAAAATTAATACAATAAAATTTAGATCATATTTTGCCAAAAGAACAATAAAATTATATAGTTTAGAGCCCCGAATAAGTGTAGGAAATACACTTATCACCTATCATAATTTCATAAAAGGTTGGATGACCGCATTTGTCCTGTCCATCCCCGGATAGATATAACTGATAGTGATTTCTCCATCTACATCAAACTTCACTGGGATGGCTCCTTCTAGAAGTTGAGGTCCAAACTCCTCAACTGAGGGTTTACAGGCATCGTGTTCATTAGAAAATATTTGTTTCTTCTCTGCAATGGGAATTGGATCAAATGATCCAAATGAAACCATCGAGCAGGTGGCTGTTAGATTCTCTCCGGTTTCAAGTTTGATCTTATTTTCTTTGTCCAAGCGAACAATAAGATCTTTAAAAACAAAGCATTTTCCACTAGATGGCTAATAATTCTATGAAATTTACAGTATTTAGGATGATCAATCCTACCAACTTCCTCGGGTCTTTTTGGTACTGAAAGTTCGATTATTTTCTATTCAAGGAGCTAATCCAGAATTCCAGAAACTTCAGAATCTGAGAATGGGTACTCCTTTCCTTCAAGTTCTTTCAGAGTTACATGACCTCTATTTTCGACTTGTCCTTTGTTAGGTCTGAACTCTGGCCTCGATTTCGAGTTCGAGTTCGAGTTCGAGCTCGACCATTGGAAGGCTATCTTTGCAGGAACAGTAGAAATCACCATAGCCTCTTTAGATTTATCTGTCTTGACGTCCTTCTTTATTTCCTTCTTGGAATCCTTCTTGTCATGTGGATCACTTGGTAAGTAACTCTCATGCCTTGCAATTTGGAGCTCCAGGTCATGAGCTTGTGTAGCCAATGCTTCGAATGAGTGAGGCATGTTTGCTTGGAAATTATAGAGAATCCCCAATGCATGCCTTGTACACACATGTCGATGGAAGATGCTTCGCTTATTCATTCTTCGTAATTAAGCACAAAGTTTCTCCAGCATTCAATGTACTCCACAACGGGCTCTTCCTCGTTCTTCTTTGTTCAAGCAAGTTCTGGAAGGCTGACAAATCGTCGGGTGCTGTAGAAGCGTGTTAGGAACTCTCTCTTGAGCTGATCCCAACTATTAATTGACCCTGCTGGTAAGTCGGTGTACCATTCAAACGTGGCACCTTTGAGGGAGCGTATGAACTGCTTCACCATGATGTCATTATAAGTGCTTCCATTGTTACACGTCTCAATGAAATGAGCAAATGTTGCTTTAGGTTGTCCTTTCCATCAAAATATTGAAATTTTGAAGGTTGGTAATCGAGTGTCATCTTTATTTCGTTAATTCGAAGACTATAGGCTTGACATATACCAGTGAAGATTGCAATGAACGACCATACTGGGTACAAACGGTGTCTGTAATCATATGTTGAAGTTCTTGGACGGACAGAGAGCCGACAGAGAGTTGAGTGGTGTCATGCAACACGGTTTGAACAACTGTCCAATCGTGCACATCTTGCTTTTGTTGGCGCTCTTGGACTTCTAACTCTTTGGCCTTGGAAGATCCTGAATTTTCCTGATCTTCTTTAGTCGGTGGATTTTGCTAATCTAGCCTGTGTATGAGTGCAGCTCTGTACATCTTTGTCTTCCAAGATCTTCCACGTGATCTATTATGCAAGCCGAACATTAAATGATACCCAGATCAACTACGCAACCACTAAGAAGGAGCTCTTGGCGGTGGTCTATACCTTTGAAAAATTCAGATCATATCTTATAGGGTCTAAGGTCGTAGTCTACACAGATCACGCCGTATTGAAGTATCTAATGACAAAAAATGATGCTAAGCCGAGATTAATCCATTGAGTATTACTGCTGGAAGAATTCGACATTAAAATTAGGGATAAGAAGGGCAGTGAAAATATGATAGTAGATTACTAATCGAGATTAGAACATGAAGAACAAGAAGTGTCATTGGATATAAACGAAATTTTTTCAGATGAGCAGATGTTCAGTGCAGAAGAAGCTCCATGGTATGTAGATATCGTCAACTATTTGGCTAAGTTAATCCCACCGCTAGATTACTTGAGTCACCAGAAGAAGAAGTTCTTTGCTGAACTGAAATATTAATTTTGGGAAGATCCTATTCTCTATAGGTGAGGGGCTGATCAAATTGTGAGAAGATGTATACTTGAAGATGAAGTACCCGAGATTCTTGAGTATTGTCATTCATCTGCCTATGCGGGGCATCTGGGAGCTTAAAAAACTGTCGCAAAAATCTTACAGTCAGGGTTTTACTGACCCACATTGTTCAAAGACGCCTTTGAGTTTGTTAAGAGGAGTGATAGATGTCAACGCACTGGGAATATCTCAAGAAGAAACGAGATGCCACTAAACAGCATATTGGAAGTCGAGATATTTGGCGTCTGGGAAATCGACTTTATGGGACCGTTTTCAAATCAATACATCCTGGTAGCAATTGATTATGTGTCAAAATGGGTGGAAGAAGTTGCATTGCCAACGAACGATGCGAAAGTGGTAATTGGGTTCTTGAAGAAATACTTCTTTACCAGATATCGCACACCACGGGCAATAATTAGTGACGGGGGCAAACATTTTTGCAATCGCCAATTTGAGCAATTACCGAGTAAATATAGGGTTAAATACCGTGTAGCAACCCCACATTATCCACAAGCCTACGGGCAAGTTGAAGTGTCCAATCGGCAGCTGAAGAGAATATTAGAGGTTATAGTGAATTCTTCCAAAAAAGACCGGTCTAAAAAGTTGGACAATGCATTATGGACACATAGGACAGCATTCAAGACACTGATAGGTATGTCTCCATTCCACCTAGTTTTTGGAAAAGTGTGCCACCTCCCACTGAAGATAGAACACCGAGCATATTGGGCTATGAAACAATTGAACGTTGATTTGGAGGCCGTTGGTAAAAAGCGTTTATTGCAGCTTAATGAGTTGGATGAATTTAGAATGGAAGCATATGAAAACTCGAAACTTATCAAAGAACGCACCAAAAAGTGGCATGATCTACATATTTAGCGGCGAGAGTTCGAAGTGGGGCAGAAAGTCCTATTATATAACTCGAGACTCAAGCTCTTCCCTGAAAAATTAAGATCAAGGTGGTCGGGCCCTTACACTGTCACTAAAGTTCTACCATATGGAGCTATACAGGTCAGCCATGAAACAAAAGGAACATTCATTGTTAATGGGCAAAGGCTGAAACACTACTGGGGCGGGACTTCTCCAAGTAAAAGTCCACCGTTCAACTTGGAATGCCTAATTGAAGTAGAAGTGGAAAAGTTGAGCTATCAACTATAAACTAGTGCTGAGTGGGAGGCAACCCACTGTATCCTTTTAGTTTATTTCATTTTACTTTCTGCGTTAGCTTAGGCATTTTTCAATTTTACGTTTTGCATTTTTTTGTCAGTAAGTCATCGATCATCCATGCATGTCAATAGAGTCAAAGCACTGTTCACACAAATTCCTAGGCATGGAGCACATGTTCGGTAAGCTTGGGGTGGTTTTGGGTGATTGGGGGGTATAATCTACACATTTCAAGATAAAAGGTCATTTTCAAAAATTTAAAGGGCCAATGTATGATTGATAGTTCAAAGTGGTTTTGGCACTAAGTTTAAACCCACACATGCACCAAGATGTTTAAAAATCTAATGTTGAAAAGTTTGGGGAGTTGAAAGGTCGGGTCAAGGTATTAATTGAATACCAAAGTTTGGTCGATGTCATGTTTTTTGGGGAAAATCAATTTTTTTTTTACTTTATTTTGTTTTGTTTTATTTCATTTCATTTTATTTTATTTATTAACGTCAAAAAGAAAATAAATTATAAAGTGTCCATGCGATCACATGGAAACTTACCGTAAAAAAATTTGGGGGTGATTACTATACCATGCGATCGCATGGATTAATACCATGCGGCCACATAGCAAATCCAGTTACAGGTTTTTTACCCGTAACTTGGCCATTCATTTCCCATTCCCCTTTCATTCATCTCTTGAACCCTAGGTGCGAAATCACCAAATTACACGCACACATCCAAAAAAATTCACCAATCATCCTTCATTCCTTCATACATCCACACATTCATCTCAAAATCAAGGTATTCAAGGTATGAACTTTATCTCTTCTCCTCCTTTAGATTTCAGTTTATGGGTATTTACAATTTTACAATTGGAAATTGAGGTGAAAGGGTGTAAGTAGACTTGGATTTTGGCATTGATTTGTGTTTTTGCATTGTGGGTGATTACACTTTGCAAATCATTCATAAAATGGAATTGAAGATATTGCACACAATGTGTTCGATGAAATGCCTAAGTGACGATCTTTATGCAATTTTGTAAACTTTTCTTTTGTCATGCAGTACGATTGATGTGAATAGAAATTGGGTAATGAAATATCACATGAAAGGTCATGAAAAACATAAAACCCAAACTTGCATAACATAGGCACCATATGGCTAGGTCACGGCACCCCACGTCACCTACTTGGCCCATTCATTTACCTAACCAAACAATATCCAATCAACTTGAAATTTCAGTATGTGATAGACTATATTGAATACTTCCATATGCCTAGAGATTGCTCGAGAAAATTTCGATATCTTTTGATGATGCTTGGGTCAAAAGTGCGCACTTGGTCATGGGTCAAATTTTCATAATGTGCATGTTTGGGCCTAACTTTGTTAGTTTTTTCAATTGGCGCAATATTTCTACTATCTTGAACATCATGTCTTGAATATTGTACACAAATGCGTTACACATACATCTAGGAGTAAGTTTGGGAGATTCATGCATCAAAAATCGACTTTATGTTTTCCGCATGCCATTTTTCATTGCATTCTATGATTTTGACATTGAAAATCTTATTTTTTACAGGATGCCGCAAAAAAAAACTTCAAAGGGCAAGGAAAACGTCAGCTCATCTTCCGGAACTGTAAGAACTAGGGAACTCGAAGGGAAATTATAGATGTTCTTAAATGCTGAAACCATGGCCCGGTATGAGAACATCATACGCCACTGGACAATGAATCTTGAAAGACCAGTTGAACTTGAAGATTTCCCAGGGTTTGAATTAGTGAATCTGGTTCGAATTTGTGGTTGGGATAAAGTGGTAGAGAGACCTCACCCAGTTTATGAGAATCTAGTCTGAGAGTTCTTTGCCAATTTCAACAGTGAAATTGACACCCTAGGTTCAGAGCATATACATCAGACATGGGTACGAGGGAAATGGATTATGTTCTTCCCAGATGTTATCCACGATTATTATCAGCTAAACATGGAAAATGTGGTTCACATCCCCATCGAATTCAACTGGAATGAAGTAGCCGAGGTTTTGCTGGGACGAAAAAATGCATGGCCCCTAGCGACTGCTGAGTGGCATTAGATAGAGCTCACACCGTCCATAGCCATTCTATGGCTCTTCATTTGCCACAACATCGAGCCCACATCACACAGAACCACATTTCCTGATCAAACATCACGCTTCATTTATCATCTAGCTTGGGATTGCAAAATAGACCTCGTCACCCTTATCTATAATCAAATCCACACCTTGGGCAATTGGCGGGATCGGCGTACCACTTTGGTCTTCCCCAACCTCATCAGCGGCATATGCATGGCTGCTGGCGTTACAATCTTACGAGAGGAGGTGCCTTAAAAACCCAGGCCTCCAATAAAGCATATTACATTTGAGTCTTAGGAGCGAACTCGGATAAGACATCAGGGCGAACAAGAGAAAGAGCGAGACAGCAGTAGGCTACACGGGGCTAGGGGCCCAATGATGCTGAGATGCCCCAGGCACCACCATCGATGGGAGCTGATACACAGTTACTACGTCAGATGTTTATGACTCTCATAAGAACAAGCCACGATATAGAGGGCATCCAACAAGCTCTAGGGGCTTTGAAAATTGATATGCAGATAACCCGACGTGATATCAGTACCACTCAAACCATGTGCACTCTGCATATCAGGAGGCCCTATCAGTTAGGAGGGAGATGGAAACTATGAACGAGCGGCCAAGTCTATATGTGGGCAGAGTGGATGGTTTACAGATAAGAGTGAATGACATTTGGGACCATATGCATAGCATGGAGGGCGAAGTTAGAGCACGGAGTAGCATGATGAGAGCCATGCAAGTAGAGCAGGTCCAGCAGTTAGATCTACTAAGATAGATCTTGGTTCATTTCCTACATCCACGGGACGATGACATCGCGGGACTTAGTTATCGTTCACCACCACCACAGTGATATAGGGAGTTTTATTTAACTCATTTTGCTGTTTTTAATTTGCACTTGTCCTTCAAATTATGCCTTTTTGAAACCTTTACCTTTCACATTGAGGGCAATGTACTGTATAAATTTGGAGGGTGGTGGCATATTTTGAACGGTGACATTTTTTGGAAAATAAATTATCGGCTTGTAATGTAATCTATTTTGAAACGATCACAGTCCATCAATACTTTCTATTACTGAATGCATAGTGTGTGCCTGATGACTGATTATTGGATCAATATGCTGTATTAAATTCATTGCATTCTTGTGTGGGTTTAATAGCCTTGCTGACAATTATGTGATTGGAATAGATATGTGTTAGGAATTGTGAATATGGTGCAGAATTTGTTTGACTAATACTTGCTGATATAGTACTTAACATTTCATATGCACGCCACTCATGCCACACATGATAGGTGAGTGATTCTGTTTGAATAAAGCAGGAGAAATTAGAAAACCTCGATTAGATTAAACTATACATGAATGTAGATCCATAAACCAAAAATAGTTGAATAATTTGGAGATGGTTTAACAATTATAGGGGAACATTGAGATAAGTGGGGGCTCCGTGCTTGAATTACGCTGTATAGATTGCCTAGACAAGTGAGACAAAGACTAGGTAAAAGTCTTAAATTGGGGGTTAATTCTAGAGATCAAATGTCCAGAAAACTAAAAAAGGGACATAAATCTAGGTTATGAAAATATGACACCTTTCCAAACCTTTATGACTCGAGCAAGTAAGCCTTTAAGGATATCTCGAAATCTGGTGCTCTAAAGCCAACTGATTTGGGAGTCACCGGCCCAGAGCTCGTTACAGGGGTCATATAGAAAGCAAGAGAGAAAGAGGTCAATAAAAATTCATCTGATTGAGTCTTTATAACTTGAGTGGATAAAGCCTGTAAGGGTGTAAAACCTGGTGCCCTAAGGCCAACTGATTTGGAAGTCATCGGCCTAAAACTCGTTATAGGGGTTATATGGAAAGAAAATGATAAGATGACATAAAAAAAATGATGAATGAAAAATACAGAGTACGATAGGAAGAATGAAGCCCTTGGACATTCGGTTGATAAAAATCACACCTTTAAGGCAAGGCAAGTAACTTAGTTTAATCTTGAGTGTTAAAGCAATCAAATCTAGGAGAGCCTTCACTTGTTGACATGCGAACCTATGATGGTGAGATCTATCCAAACAAAGAGAGGGTAAGGTCTACAATTACCTAAACCTTTAACTTTAAAACACAACCCCAGGATAATTGAGTGAAAAGAATAAGTTTGAGGGGTTGTGTGTCGCTCGAGCAAAGTAAGGATATATTTGACCATTTTGGGGTCGGGATTAAACCAATCATAAGCTTGCTATGTTGGTATGAGTTCACACACACACGGCATCCTACAAGCAAAGGTAAATTCTATTCTCGCAATATTGAAACTACTTCCTGTGTTAATTACTGAATTCCAATTCTGAGATACGGTAGGTTATTAAGCTATGTTTGTTGAGATTTAAGTCACTATCTTATTTGAGTACAAACAACATTTCAAGTTTGGGGGATTCGATAAGTGCATTTTTATGCATTTATATAACTCACAAACATGACTAAAATACGAGCAAAGTGTTTGAAATGTGACCTAAATTCGCTTAATTCTTGGATTGTAGGGTTTTCTGATGGACTTGATGGAATTCACAAGAAAAAGAAGAAAAAAAGGACAAAAAGAATCCAAGTGATAATTCAAGGGTCGAAGTGCAAATATCAAAAAGATAAGACAAAGGAGCAATCGAAGAATTGATAGTATCAAGTACTAATTGGAGGTCAATATGAGATGATGAAACAAAATAGTTGAAGAAAAAAGGTCATTAGACAAGAAAATTGAGTTAGGGGACTAAAATGGCACAAATTGGAAGATCATTAAACCATGTGTTCGCATGGTGTTATAACCATGTGTTCGCATGGTGTTATAACCATGCGGCCGCACAACCCCCACCTGTGAATTGAAAACCCAAAATAGGTTCAACCATGTGTTCGCATGGTGTAAAAATTCGGGTCGATTCTGCAGTTTCCTTTTTACGTTATAACTTTATTGGAAGAGATTTGGAGGGGATATAAAAGCCTAGACTCATCAGAATTAGGGTGAGAACGCATTGAAGGAGAATGAAACACTTCTTGGAGACCAAATTGAGAGAGATCAACAAGAGATTTCACGAAGAACATCAAGATTTCATCAAATCTCAATATCCGATGATGTTTTATTTTCAAGAATTCATGTGTTCCTTTAAATTTTCAATGTTAGGCTAAGTTTTCTCATACTAAGAGATCGATGAACTATGTAATATGACTTTTGGATTTTAATTTTGTAATTTGTTAAATTAAACGCATATTTGATTGATTGAATGATTCATATACATTTATTTCATCCATGATTGTGTGCACCCGATTATGTGATGTGTACTGATTTATTTCTTACATTTGAAAGAAGGGAAATAGATTTGACAAGGTATAGATCATTGTAGGGTCCGATAGGGGATAGAAATATACCTCTATGCTTTGCGTGATTCTCTAATTGTTCATAAAATCCATGCATTCTTATGTATATGCATTTTTCATAGAAATATAGGCGGTGATACATAAGAATAGGTTCAATATTGCTCGAGAGAGTGTGTTGGATAGAATTAGGAGCATTGAGTTGTCAATAATCAAATTGTGTTATCATATTGTGAAATTAGGGTTTCAAGTGTTACATAGGAATTCGTGATCCTAGTGTTTTCTAATTTTATTGAATACAATCAATTTTGCTTCCAATCATCATTTTGCAATTAATTTCATTTGAACTTATAATTTGCATAATCAAATCATTTAGCAAAATTAGGGTTTTCATCAATTAGGGTTTTACTAAATTAGGGTTTTTCTAAGAATAAACTCTGTTTTGACAAATTCGTTTCGGTTAAGGCTAAGACAGATCGAATTGAACTACTCGATCTCTGTGGAATGATACTTGAAACTTAATATTCCACTTTATTACTTGTTAACGAACCATACACTTGCGGTAATTTTAAGTCGAAAGAAATAATTTCACGAACATGCATCCAACAAAAATATATAGATACAAATTGATATATTCCTGAGAAACTTAAATGGACTATCAATTTCAAGAACTTGTTTATATTCAACAAGCATAAATGGATCGATATATTCATTCCATTATGAATTAAATGTCTGTAAAGTTTTATGGTACGACAAAAACAGAAGCTAATGAAGTGGCTACAGCGTAGCATGTAAATGAAGTTCATTCCTGATTCTCAGAAAAGAAAAGGGCCTTTCCTTGGCTGCAATCTTGAAAAGCTAAGCGAAGCATTTAGGCAATACTTGTACCAAAAATATTTGAGAATTAAAAGAATTCTTCTAAAAAAGCGAGACTAGCTTAATCAAAATTAAAGCACATTTGTCAATCAAAAAATATTGATATCTCTTCACGCTATAAGGAAAAACACCAATGGCACCAACTCTAGTAATAAAGAATTCAACTAATCCGTACATGACATAGTTTCTTCTTACTGCACTAAAAAAAAGGATCTTAGATTCAAATGAAATTGGCAATCCATTATATATATAATAATAATAATAATAATAATTATTATTATTATTCTTATTATTTATTTATTTATTTTTTGGGATGCATGCATTAGTGGAAAAAATGGAATGAGA